TGTGTTTTTGGTTTTGCCCTAGGCCGAGCTCTTGTTGTTTTTGTTGTTCTTTTTTTTCTGAGTGTATGCGTGAATGTGAGTGTGTGTTGGTGTAGGTGGCAAGCAATAAAATTCATAATGGTTGTTGTACTAGCTAACACAAAAGCACTCTTACCAAATTAATTCAATTATAAACAAAACAAGGCGTAATTAAAATCATAATATACAAAATAAACGCATTACAAAACTTTATGCTCAAAAAGGATTCTGAAATGGCAAAGTTGAAGAGTTGATGGCAAAGGAAAACTTGCGCTGATAAAGTGACCCAAATATGTGGAGCAGGACTACACACGTTTAAGAAAATCCATTCAATTAAAACGAGAAAAACTAAAAGAAAGCATACAAAAATGAACATTTTTCAACGATTTTTAATTAAATAAATTTGATAAACCACTACAGAAAAGAATACATAAAAGCTATTAGAAACTGTTGTTTTTTAATTTAACAACAAATATAGTTACCAAAGGTCGTATTCAAAAAGTAATTTAAGTTTTCTACTATCCAGATTTTAGGAGACTTAAGTTTTTTGGTCGATGTGACAATGTACAATTAATAAAGATAAATTAGATTGTCAATAAACCAAAACAATATTAACTAAACAAAAATTAAAACGAAAGCCAAATCATTCAAAAAACCAAATTAAAATAAAATTAGCAACATGGGTAATAGTTATGTCCTTTTAAATTATTGATATGTTTTAAACAAAAGAACAGCAATTAATTGCTTGCCTTTTTTTGCTAGTATGAACAAACAAAATTAAAACAGTGAATTTTGGCATTTGGTTATTTGTGTTGGGATTGTTAGCCCCGCCCCGCCCCCTTCAGTAACTTTCTACGCCCATTTTAAAGCCGCCTTTTCCGTTTTCCCACTTTTTCCCACGCCCTGCACCATCCACCCACCGCTTTCTTATCGCTGAAGAGTCACGTTTTTGACCCATTTTCACATACTGGTGCCTAAGCCTATACAGATGGCATAAAAGCTGCTGCGAGACCTCTTCTATCCCCCATTAACCCATGCAGCCACTTAACCCTCGAGTGGCTCTCGCTGATGTAATGCCATTCGATTTGATTTGCCATGGTTAACCAGATTTGCTTGCCACAGTCATTCGGCATTTTGCGGTTGCTAATGCCTAGTCTTTACACTCGAAGAAAAGCGAAATAGTTACAAAATTCGTCAGACTTCAGGAAGCAATCAACATTAAAAATGTTCAATTTTTGTATAAATTATTCATTTACTTTAGTCTTTCTAAAAGATAATATTATTTTTTGAAAGAAATAAGTATCGCTTTAATGTTTGTAAAGCTGAAAAGTTTATTTTTACCTAAAAGTATTTGAGTTTCAAGTTATTTTACAAGGTTTTTCTGATTTTGTAGTAATTGTAATAAAATATTTTAATATTTTACACGCTATGTATTTATTTAAAATTCGTTGATTGATAAAGGTACTTATCTAACACTAAATTATTCAGGTACAGATAGTTGCCCTAATTTTGTTCGACTGTATGCTACTGTATGTGTGTGTGAGTGTAGGACGAGTTGATTACTTGCCACATGGTGCATGGTTGACGATAAGTCACAAAGTTGATGGGCCCAATTTGCGTACGCCTCTAATTTGTTTGTTTCCTTTATTGTTTCTGGCTCCCATTAGTTAACCTTTGGCCCAGAGGGTGACCAGCGCCGTGTTGCTTAGCAAATTCCCCAGTCGCCGAAATGAACCACTGACACGCCCTCGGCGCCTCTCTTTCCGGCTCATCTGGCTATCTGACTAACTGGCCATCTGGCCCAGCCGAATCTAGCATAGGAACCATCCCCAGTCGGACCTAGCCCCACTTTTCTTATCGCACGTGCCTGGTCAGAGACTAGAAAGCAGTAAAGCTGACCAACTGAAAAACCACTGAGGTCCTCCCACAGGCGCACGCACACAGGCGCAAGCAACAGGACTTGTTCATCGGTGAGTAATCCACGGAGGATTTGGTTGCGGAGGATCAAAGGGGTGTGGTCTTTCCACAAGAAGTGTGGCTATAAATGTTCTGTCCTATAAGAGGTTAAAATATATCACTTAAAAAGTAACGTAAAAGAAAATTTTGTTAAATAGTAATATTACTACATTGTTTTTAAGAAATAACAAGTTCTTAGTTTGGTATTGGTAGAAGAAGATAAACATTTGTTTGCAACAAGTCATATAGATTGACATTTATTTTTGTATAAATTCTAACTGGAATACATGTCGTATGAGTAATTTTTGGGAGAACCATCTTTGAAATATTTAGTTACGAGGAGTTCTTATAGCAAATATCAATGTTATTAGTGTGATCAAGTAGTGTAAAATCAAGTAAAGTTTTTGCTAAATAGAGAATTTTGTAAGACACCAAAAGCACGATTTCTTTGAAACAATTCTAAAAATATTTCTCCTTCAAACCTCGAGCTCCATTTGATCCTCCGCGCTATGGGCCCCATAAGTAAAACCCAAACTAACCTACATATCTCCTTTCAGGCAGCCCCTTGGTCGGGCCCCACTCCAAACTGGCCCATCAATTTTGGTTCTCCTACCCGCCACCGGGCGCTGGCGGCGGTTCCTCAAGTGAGTCTTTCGGTTTGAGCATGCGTGGCAGCACCTTGGACCCTCCACAATTACTATTCGTAATACTCCCTGCCCCAAACAAAAAAAAAGAAAACAAAAACATAAAACCGATCCCACTTCGTTTGTGTTGTTCGTCCCTCGATGTCTATGTAATCTGATTGATCGATATAACCGAAAGTGATCACAATATAGCCCGTGTATAGTCTATAGGGAGTGCGATTATCGTTTGTTCTTTGGTTCCACTTCTTTTTTGTATGACTAGGCCATCCTGTGAGTCCTCTCTCTCTGTATATCTATCTGTATTTAACATATATATGTATCTTGTCTGTACGTATGTATATGTCTGTATGTGGTACGTTTGTTAAGTGACTTCTCTTAGTTGTGAAAGCCACATAAAGTATCTCTCTATATATAGTCGATGATTTCCATATCCTTTCGTTGTTGCCATTACCTAGGTATAAACATATATTTTGCCACATACCATATTTAATAATATAATATATAGCGTAACTCTGTAGTCAAGAAAACCAGAAAACCAGAGCCAAAGAGAGAGGTAATCCGGCTTAAAGGATTATATTAGAGGACTAACATCCCTGATTTGTCTTGGTTTTCTCTTTATTTTCCTTGACTGTACGAATTCGTTGATTGTCCATATAAATACATAATTGGTTGGGGCTGGCCAATGAATTTTTTTTATATATTTATTTAAGGATTTAAATTAAGCCAGCTACTTGTCCATTTCGTTGGAACTCCCCAAGCAATAATAAAAAATATACTTAAGATTTAGTTCCGATTTAAGTACGAAATAATTGAAGATTTGTTTTTTGTCCTTCTTTTCTTTGCTCTTCTTTGATTGTATTGTCTTCTATGTTCAACACACAAATAAAAAGGAACAATAAAACTAAGGAATCGAGCCTAACAAATACGAAATAAAAACTCAAGAGAACAAAAAAATAAGAAAATATAGAATCGAATCTTAAACTGAAACTAAAACGGAGATTGAGAGATTCTTCGTGTGCGATCGCTACCTGTCTCTCTCCCTCTCAGTCTCTTCTCTCTCTATCTCTCTATCTGCCTATATGTCTATCTCTTTCTCAAAAGACACACTCAGACACACCGCACTCACCTAACGGTACTAATTCCATTCCAATCGTTCCGGTTCGCGTCGCGATCGCGTGAAAAACAATTGCAAAATTCGACAAAAATCGTTACTAAAATATAATCTAAATCAAAAGCGACATACAAGAACAATATCATCACCACAAGTACAACATCAGAAAAAAAACACTTTGAGGTAAGGAAGAATTTCTTTCTCACTGTCTCACACACTCCGCCTCTCTCCGTCTCTCTCTCTATCTCTGTCTTTGTCTCTCTCTGGTCTCGTAGTGTTGGCTAAATGGAATATCAACCATTCTATTGAACCAAATAAACCAAATCCCATTAGAAACCCCCTTAGACCAAAAAAAAACAAGAAATGGAACCCCCCCCCTACATAGCGAGTTCCTTTATACCGCCGTTCCGTTTCGTTGGTTGTTACGTTACGTGTAGTTCGTTTCGTTCGACGTTCCTTGTTTCCTCTTAGTTGTCTTAATTTTTTCGGTTGGTTTTCGTTTTCGCATTTTTTGTAGCGCTTTGTTGATGATGATTAAAAAAACGATGATGATGGTGATAACATAACGATGACCCTGATGTGATTGTGTGCGTGTGTACAAAAGTTGTTTATGAATGGAACGGGGTCAAAGGTGGGGCAGGTGTAAACTTGTGGCATCCACTGTGCAGCACTCGGGACCACTTTGTAGTCATCCAAAAGGGTAGAACGAGATAATTGCAACCGGTTGACAAGACGCATGCTTGAAGCTATAGAAAAGGTTAAAACACATAACAAGAATGTAAGATAACAAGAATAAGTAGCGACGATTTGGGGTACCTAAAAAGTGCTGAAACGGGGCTGTCACAGAAATCTTTTCTAAACCAATTTGGTTGGTAGTCTTGTACGAGTATACATAATTAAAAATTCCATCTGTCATCGGTTGAAAGAGATTTCTGTAGCATACCTTTAACAATGGTGGGAGTTTAGTTAGTTAAAATTGTAATAAATCAAGAATGTGACCAGCGCTCCATTGCAAACATCCGTGGCACTTGGTCACACTACAAAAGTGCATGTTTTTAAAAACTACGAAATATTAATCTTTAAAATTAATAACCTAGCACACTGGAATGCTCTTAAGTCCCTATGCATACGAAACTATTATTTTCCTGTGATCAATCCCTATCCACCACACCACAGTGCGGCTCAATGAAATGTTTACCCACCGCCCCTGTGACGCACACACTGAACTTGGTGAACTCTTGTGCTCTTGTGGTGGGTTGGCAAGCGGCTCCGAAGCGCAACGGTGGGGCCCTCAATCGGTTGAAGCCAAGGCCAAAGCTCAAAGCTCAAATATTCATGGGAAACATAAATGCGCGAGAATGGCAAAACGACTGGCAGCAGACCAAATGTTGACTGTTGTTAGTCGAGTAGAGACCGCTCTTCAAAGTGGGAATGCTCACAGAATAAATATATATACACAACTAGCTAGATAAATATGTAAAATAATTAAGAGACCTGAAAAAGTTAAATTTAAGACAAGTTTTGCATTTTAAGATGAACCAAAATTAACATACAACACAAACTGTGATAGTGCAATAGAATAGAATAGAACTTTAAAGCAACTAGTGTGCCCAGCGTCTGTGAAATACCCGCCCGCACCTTGGTCACACTGCCGCAAAATGCATATCTGTCTAGTTGCCGCGAATATGCACGCAGCTGAGCTTTAATCCGCCCGAGAAGATGACACTAATTGGGCCGCGGTCAACGTTGAGTGTGTTTAGCGTTTTGGGTTCGGTGTTTTGGGTTAGTTTTATGTTTTTAGTGGGCCGCATTTGGGTATTCAGTGTCAGTTTCGCTCGGTTCTTCGGCCACAACTGACGACTGTTGAATCCGTTGATTCCGAATCCGTGTGTGTGTGGGCTTTTCACCTGTCGAAAGGTGCGAATTAGTATGACACCGCCCCGGCTGAGTCGCTATTTGATGGCAGTGCGTGGTGGGCGTGATGGGGAGCAGCGTAAGTAGGGGGGCGTGGCCTTGAATTGTATACACATATACGTATGTGGGTGCGTGTGAGTGAGAGCTGTAGATATGCATGCTGCAAGTTGTTTTTTTCAAACCATTTAGCATTTTCTACCATGCATGTTTAGAGCTTGAGTAGACGATGACAGTATGATAATTGCAATTGAAATACCATAATGAGAATCGATTGAAACAGTTTCAACATATCCTCTCTCTCCCCCGTCTTTCTCTCTTCTCTTTCTATTCTTCCCAATATTTTTTAAATGGTTCTATTCCTCGGTTCTTATGGTTTTCTTCCGTCTTAACGTTTCCTTGCCTTATTCTTGTTTTAAACGTATTTTTGGTTTTTTTTATGGCTTTTCATTCCTATGATATTGTATTATTTTTAATACGTTTTTGAAATTGTACTTATGGGTTGGTGCCCTACTGTCAATATATTTTTCTCCATATTTTTAAATGTTTTCTAATTTTATGATTTACATTTTTAAATGTATATTTTTACTTTCATATACTACTTTTTTAATTTATTTTAAAATAATTTTATAAATTGTTATTATATTTATTTGTGATCATTTTCTTGTATCTCATATTATCCTTTCCTGATTTTAAACATATTTCTGTATAATTCTTTCAATTTGGTCCATTGTTTTCTGTTTTCTTGGGTTTTTTGATGACCTTACTCTCACATTTTTAATTGTATATTATTATTTTTAATATTTATATTTTGTAATTCATTTTTATTAATTTTTTGTGATCATACAGACAGCAAGAACTCGCAGACCGACGAAGAGAAGCAGCGCGATCGACAGCGAAACGAGCGCGAGGCCAAAAAGGAAGAGCAGGACGCCATCAACTACAAGGTGAGTGTGTGGGTGTGTGTGCCTCTCTCTCTGTCTGCCTCTCCCTATCTCTTTCTGTCGCGGCCAATTCGGTGTGTGCGTGTGTGTATGTGTGTCTACCGCGCGGGCAATTCAAATTGACATTCAAAAAAAGTAATAATTCCTCAAAAGAAGAGAAAAAATTATGCAAAAATAGAAAAGAAAAGATAAGAAATAGAAAACCAATTAAATGCAGCAGTAATTGAAAATGCAACAGCAATAATACGATGGCCATGCGATAACCCTTAAACCTGATAGTAAGAATGCACTTTGCGACAATTGCATGCAAACAGCGCGACAAGGAGCAACGCGAGGCCCGTCTGCTGGACTTTGAGATACGCCGCCAGCAGAAGCGGGACGAGCAGCAGCAGCAGCGCCAGCAGCAGCAGCAACTGCAGCAGCACCGCGAGCAGCAGCAGCAGCAGCAGCAACACCAGCGCGAGCAGCAGCAGCAGCACCGCGACCAGCAGCAACATCAGCAGTCCAGCGAAAAGAGTCCGCCCACCTCCTCCGCCGCCGCCGCAGCCGCCGCCGCTGCCGCCCACCAAACGCATCCTCATCCGCAGCAGCAGCAGCAGCAGCAGCAGCAGCAGCGACAGCACTTGCATCTGCAGCAGCAACACCTGCAACACCAGCAGCAGCAGCAACAACAGTCAACGGGCAGCGGCAGCAGCAACACACCCGTGACCCCCAAGTTGCAGACACCGCCCCCCGATCGATCGCTGCCCCCCGCCTTTCGAAGCCGCTCCATCGAGCGGGAGATTCTCTACGAGCGGAAGCGATTCTCGCAGCCGGAAGCCGGCGAGATCAAGGTTTTCCATCACTAACCATCCACCCAAAAATCCACCAACCACCCATCACCCATCACGCCCATCCATCCAACCCACCTGCACCTGCCAGCGACATATTTTTTTATTTTTTCGGAAGGTGGACAAAAGATTCGGTCTATTGTCGTAAAAAATCATCCCACTAATTTTACATGGTTTTTTTAAGATTATTTACAACACAATTCATAGCAACAGAATTTTGTAGGTGGATACCAACCTTGGATCATGTTATATGAGTTTTCTTTTCTTGTACATTTTGTTATTATTGATACAAATATTATTGTTTATTAACAAACAAGCGTAATATTTTTAATCTAAAAAAATATATTTGGGTAGTAAATAAAATTAAATTTTATTAAATAAGTACTTGTCAAATGATTTTTAATACTTGGTGAAAACCTTTTTATTTTGCATAATTTAATTTGGTTAAAATAAGCTAATAAACCGATTTTGTCCACCTTTTTCTATGATTAACTATCAACTAAATGAACTCTCTTTGGGAATTCACCTCGCACAGGAGCTTGATAGTACGACATCATCATCGTCCACGCAGCAGACCTTCCCTGGCAGCGCAGTCGGGGCGGGCAGAGCGTCGACAGCGGCAGCGGCGGTACCTGGGAGCGGGACACCGGGAGCGGGACCAACGACGACATTGGCGGGGCCGCCGGCAACGGCCGCAGCTGCCACAGCTGCGATCATCCCGATTCTGCCGCTCGGCGTTGCCACGCTGCGCGATGATTCCACCGAGTCCGAGCAGTCCGTGACCTGTGCGCACAACCAGCTCGATGCCTACCACCGCATCATGTGAGTACTACCGCCAACAACATCAAACCTATTAATATAAGACTGTTATCAAAACACCCTGAGCAAAATGCTTAAATGGGTCATATTTTGTCTAAAATTTTTCGACCCAAAAAAACAAAGTATTTTGACAATCATTTCGCAAAATAGGTTCGGAATGTGGAGTGTCATACCTCGTTGAGCTCGTAATTAAATTCCCAATCGATTGGCATTTAAATCTGAAAAATTTATTTTTTGAAAATTTTTCGAAAAAAAAGAAAAAAATGCGAAATTTCGTCAAAAAATAAATTTCCCGAAAAGTGATAGGGATCGATGGCCTTGGTTGTTAGCTGCTCATAACAGTCGGTCTTTTTGTTGTACGCATCGATTTGACTAAATTACAGCTTAAAAACGGATTAAAAATAACGTATTTTTCGTCCAAGAAATTATTGTCCCTATTTTTGCGCAAAAAAATCAGTATTTTGGTCGACAAATTGCGAAATGAGGTCAGAATACGGAATGTGATATCTCGTTGAGCTCGTAATTGAATTCCCAATCGATTGGCATTTAAAACTAAAAATCCATTTTTTTTTTAATTTTTCGAAAAAAAGATGATACAATCCCTTTCAAAAAATGCGAAAATTCGTCAAAAAATAAATTTCCCGAAAAGTGATAGGGATTGCAAGCCCAGATTGTTAGCTTCGAAGAACAGTCGGTCTCTTCAATGTGCGACTCGGTTTAACCCAATTACGACTAAAGAACGGCGACTAAAAAGTTTTTGGTCAAAAATCGTAGTCCTCTGTTTCTCCTATAAAATCGATAGAAACTTTCTCACTTTTACAAAACCGCACTTATATGGTTCAGATAAAGCGTAGTAACGTGGAAAAGCAGTAAAAAAGAGATAAGAGTACCACTCTATTAAAATAAACCATTTTTGTGGGATGATTTTATGAGCTCTTAAATGCAAAATCATGGCCCCAGGTTTCAATTTACATCGTTCAGTCATCAATAAAAGGTATATTTATTTATTATGTCAGCTCGTCTCTGCATTTTTTACTGCCTTGACGATTTAAATTCGTTCTAGCTAAGAATGTTTATATCTTTAAAGACTTTAAGGTAAAAACCGTAAGTTTAATGAATTCCATTTATCTTCCGTGTGGGTAAATATTTGAATGCATCCTTTGCCGCTGTTATTTAACGGTGTGGGAAAAAGTCTGTAATTATACAAACTGGGTTTATTTGCATTTTCCTTGGGCCTGCATCATTTAAACTGCGTTCCGCGGCATTAAATCAGGAAGCCTTTGCCCGATTCTCTCCACAGCTCTATTTTTCTCTTTCTCTCTCTGCAAAAGCTTGCAAAGCCGCTTTTCTCAGCTTACATATATGAAATCAAAGAAAAGATTTTCTTGGCACAATAGTTTGTATGACTCATACAATTAAATAAAACAAAAATGCATTCGGAAAAGTTTTTGCAAAAGTTCGAAACAATTCAGAGGGCACTTAACCCTGAAAAGTATGCTTTGAAAGTTGCATGTAGAATGCGCGTAGGAGGCATGTAAAAAACCTGCAAAATCAAGTATACGCCGTGATGTCCAGTGGTCAGTTCAAATTGCATGCCAACAGATGGCGCCCAAGTGCAGCATGCTAGATGCAGCATCAAATACTTGCATTTTATTCAAATAAAAGTTAATTTTTAGTTTTAATCAGAGAACATTAGTGTTGAAAACATGTTCCAAAGGGCGTACACCTTATTTAAATATAAATCATCAACCAAATAGAGTTTATTGCTCGTTATTTGTATTTTTATTGTATATATACCCCAAAATGTTAATAATATTTAAGTGATTTACTATCTGCTGACAGATCTTTTTATTAATTCTTGGAAATGTTGCCTTGAACTTCCAACCCCACGTAATCATTATGCAAGCATTTTTAGAACCTCGAACTTGATGGGAAAATTAGCAAATAACATGCTTTTGCGTTTGGCCTCAAATTAAAATGGTTAATTTTTCATGAAGGTCAAGTCATTAATCGACCAGCCACGTATACCCCCCGGCACACGGCACACAGGTGCATTTCCGAAAGTTTGTGTCCGGTACCGGGGCTTTATTGTGTTTGATTTGGCACAGCCTGCAGTCTGCAGTCCACGGTTCCGGCAATCGGATCGAAATTGAGGCATTTCCCACAGCCCCATCTCATATTTATGTGCACAAGCGGAATCAAAATCGCAATCAATTACCGTAAGTAAGTGACTTTTAATTGCTACGGGCTTTGGCGAATTAAGTTTGCACGAAAAGCGCCAAGTAATAGTCTTTAATGTTCCTATAGCGTCATTTAAATATGCATATATGTGGAAAAGCTGCTCGTGGTGTTTATTATGGCCTTTGGCAAACGACTTCTTTGCACTTATCTATTATTCATTATTATCCAGGCGCCATTTGTGCAGTATTTGGACTCGTTCCAGCTCGGTTCCCAGGCCAATGCATTAGCACCAGATTCTGATCAATGGAAAAAGGGTGCTTCATAAATAATGGACTTTCTGTGACTAATAGTCGATTACATTTTTTAAATTATTTCTAGGGAGTAGAACTTGTTAGGCATTTGGGATATTTAAAAATCTTTCTAGTTTCCAAGCTTGGTATAGTTATTAAAAACTCTCAGGTCTAGAAAAACCAAACCCGGCTTTATTTGAGAACAGTTACTCCAGTTACATAACACATTTTTTGAGGCCTTAAAAAATTCAATTTCTTTATTACAAGTATTATAATAGGTTTATTTAAAAAACTCCTGTGTTGGTTAGGCCTAAATTATTACTTGGCTTTCGGGCTTTATAACTTCTATGTATAATTCAGGCCACGATTTTGGCTGCACTCAAAGTGAATTTATATTGCCTACTTAAGAGGGCAGCCAGGAACTCTCCGGAGTCTGTGTTGTGCCGAGAAACTTTAAAGATGAGTACTTATAGGGTATTTATGTGTCAGCGATATGTGCACGTGTGTGCAGCATATAAACGAGGGTACACACATGCATTTTACCCATTTTACCAGAAGGAAAGGCCATGTAGGCCCCAGAGCATAAGCCGAAAAGGCAATCTCGTAAAAAACACGCACTTCCATCCATCTCTAGTACTACACTCACACAGGGGCACTGCAGGGCACACACACACACACACACAGGAGCCAACACACACTCTAAAACAGACACCCACACTCAGAGACTAACACTGACTAACACACACTTGGTATTTTCCACTCCCACATGGAGAATAAAGAAACATGCCGGGCCAATTTGCAACCGCAAAAGAAGAATACTTTTGGGAGGAGTACGAAAGAGATAGTGAAGCAGGGGGAAGGCAGAAGAAGCAGGAGGAGTGCAGAAAAGAAGCAAGTGAAAGAGAGAGAGAGAGGAAGGATACAAAAAAGAAAGAGAGGCGGGCGGCTTTTTGAACTGGGACACGTGCGTTTGGGCCAAAATTCACCACAAAAACAGAGAGCAGGCGAAAAAAGCTCAGATGCTCGAAAATTGCGCGCGCTGGCTCTCCCTCTCTCTGTCTCTCTCTCGCCTTTTCCCATTCTCTCTTCCCAAACGTCTTTAAAAATTAAAACACAAGCAATGAATCGCCCTAATAATTAATAGAAACATGGCTTTCAATAAAACAGACTTAAAGATACAGATACTCTTACATTTATCTTGGGTATATTTCATTTAAAATGATCTCATACGTTTTCGTAGGTCTTAATAACCTTTCTCAATATTAAATAAACATCAAGTAATAACAATAAATAATTTAAATATAATATTTAATTTATAGATCTTTGTAGGGTGTTCAATGTTCGACCTGCAAGCCTTGCAGTATGCTCATGTTTTATTTTCGTTTTGTTGTTTCTCTGCTGTTTCCTTCGGTTTGCAAATAACACGTGCATTTGTCGTAACTGTCGCCCGCCCACCACCCACCGCCCTACGTCCTTCACCACCCTCCCATTCGCCCACCTCCCCGTCATTTTCGTTTCACTCTTTTGCCTACGAGGCACTTTTCTCTCCGTCTCTTTCGTCGATTTTCCTTTGCCATCTGAGCTGCCAGCTTTTCCTGGGCAAAACTCGCCAACTATTTGATTATAAAATATTTATTTGTTGATATACTTTACCTGTAAAGGCTATAATCTAATAGTATTCCAATACGAAAGATATAACTTATTTGGGAATTTTTACTATATATGCTTTGCAAATATTTGCAAATGTATGTATCAAAATGGAGCCTATTCAACACATTTTTTTATTTTTTTAGTATGGTCTTTTAAAACCAACACTAGCTGCAAAGTATTCTTTGCATTTTGAAATTTAGAAGATTATAATATTTTTCGTAAAAATGTAAGGAACTATGTAAGGTGCATAATACTTTAAACAATAATTCATAAGTCCTTAAAATCTATTTTCAATATTTTTGAGATTCAGATCTCTTAAAACCAGATGCCCCAAGAAATAGCACACTTATCCAACACTGGCTGAAAAGTTTCGTTTTACATATTTTTTGTAAGCATCTTGTATAGGCATAAAATTGAAGACAATAATTTGAAAGTCTCTAATTCGATTTTAAATATTTTCGAGATCCCAAAGTTTTATGATCCTAAAAAATAGCCCACTTACCCAACACTGACTGAAAGTTTGCCACTGTTTTGCCATTTGGCTTTCGGCTGGCTCTTTCGCCTGTTTTGCCAGTTTGCATTTTCCGATTTCGGCAGCGAGGCCGAAAAAAGTCCGTGCATGCTGCTCGGCGATTGAGAAAGTGAGCAAGTGAGCGAATGGGCGAATGAAAAACTGAGCGAATGAGCGAGTGAGCGATGGAACTTCTGGTCTTCATTGCGGTGTTACGTGTTTCGCGTGTCAGACGCTTCGGTTCGCGTCGCGCGCGTTCCGTTGGCGGCGACTTTTTGGGCGAGATTATTTAATAACAATTTATAAATAATTGTAAAGCGAGAAAACAAAACAAAGAGGCAAAAAAAAACAAGAAAATAAGATCCAACTGTGCGAAAATTGCCTTCTGTTTTTCTTACATTTTTTTGTTGTTGTTTAGCTTATTTGTTTAGTGCCAAAAAATACAAAAATACGTATTCGCAATGCGAATGTGCTGCGGCACATAAATATGCTTATAAATCTTGGCTGTCAAAGGAGGTGGTTGCAAAGTGGGTGGCCAGGGGGCGGAGTGGGTGGTAAGAAGGTCGTATCAACTATTTTGTTGCGTTCGCCGTTAGCAGTACCGTTACATGTGCTGGCCTGTGTAAACATTGCCGTTACATACGGCAGCCATATTGTTGATGCACACATAACGCATACGCAACGTGGACCCAACTTCCGGTTAAGGAGCACTCATTTTTAACTGTCAAACTTCAAGTGCGCTTTCTGGATTCCTGTTGTTAAATTAAAGTGTTTTGTGCGCGTAAGCCTAATAATTCCCAGCACATAGTTTATTTTGATTTTGTGTGAACAAAACAGCAAAATTAGTTACTATGCACGCTTATTTTGTGCATTTCTATATTAAAAAGTGCTTTTGAAACTCTCATTTGAAAAGAGTTTAAAAGTAATAGTTTAAAATGTAAAGTTGTAAGTGCAGAACCTATAAGTAGTAGGCTGGATATTTTTTTACAAAGAGTACTTTCTTGTCAAAAATGAACGTATATTTTTTTAAGTGACTCAAAGTGTCTGCTTATACCATGATTTATTCCCTACATTTAATGACCAAAAAAGAACACACAAATTATAAACCCTTGGCCAGTGAATACACGTTATATATTCAGATATCGAGTGGATATTTCGAGGGCATATCTGCATTGTAGGCAGATTTGGGTTAGTTCCCTCCACTTGGCCCACACACACAGACACAGAGGCCCTGCAGAGGATACCGTTATAAACAAAAGGCAGGCCAACATCTGTGCCAAAGCATTTCCCATTTCCCAAGTGTGTTTTCGGCCGATTGCGATGGTGCTACATACATTCATACATATATATGAATGTATGTGTGTCAACGCTCTAATTTTCTGGCTGCCTTTCTTTGAGGAAAAACTCACTCACACTCACAGGCGGAAAAAAAACACGAGCAGCGGGGAAAGCGCACAGAAATTCTGGAGAAAGAAATCATAGACCGAATTAAACACAATCACAAAAAATGGTTCAATAGTTCCGCGTGCCGGACTTTAATGTCGTGTGAATTGCATTCGATTCGGTGGCACAAACAGCAACAGGAAAAAATTGTGTTTAGTAAGTAATTATCCAGTCACGCCACTGCTCCTGATTTTTTGCGGCAGTGTGAGTGCGGTGGCTCGGGCTTCTATCGATAAGACCGCCTAACCACAACAAAATCTGAAAACAGTTACAGTAGAACTTCTATAGACCTTAGATTCTCAGTCTAATATTTTAATAATTTTTGAACATCTGAACTATTTTTGTAACATTTTAAAAGAAGTATTTCATATAATGTCTTTCAGAATGTTAAAACCGAATATATATATTTTTCTTATAGTTGGGGCTATGTTATATTTTAAAAGTAGAACCCTTAAATTTTTTTTAATAACATTTTAGTTGAAAACTTTTTAAAAGGCTTTACTGAATTAGGTGAAAAAGTTTACTATACAAAAATTAAAACAATAATAAAATAAAATACTGAAAATATTTATTTTAGAGTTTCTTAGCGTAGTTTTTAGGGGTAGTACTTCTGCTAAGAAGTACAAGCAAATCCATTTGAGGTTTTCAGGAGTATCTAAATGGCTTCAGTCAAGGAAAATCTTTAACTTCAAAGATCTATAAGACAGAATCGTAAGATATAGCATTCAGTTAAGAAAATATTTGAATGTTTTGAATTTTGAAAAATTATAATAAGTAGGTGTTTCGAATTGCAGAAGTAGAACTGTGGGGCATTGGGTGGTGTTCATGGGCCGTATCCTTGCCTTGCCCCTGGGTTTGGGTCTAACCTTGTTGATTCAAATCAACTGAACTCGACTCGACTCCGCCCCCCTGGCCCTGATGGGAATATAATGCAGCCAAGATTTTGGCGAAGGAAGGGGAATCCCCGAGCGGGACTTTGACTTTGGATTCGTGTGAGAAATGTAATTCCAATATGACATGCCACGTGTCACCCGATCTGCCCGCTGATATAAAATATGGGATGTGGAGAATGGAAAATGGGCAGTTGCATAAGCCAGTGTGGGCTGGGATTTAGAAAATCCATTGGCGAAGATATATATACATATATGTTCATGAGTTGGGGTAAGGTTTAAAATTGATTGCGGCGTTTATTAATTGAATTGCAGCCGCTTAAGTCGCAGCCCAAACCAACTTGAGATAAAGATATCGCCACCCAGAGTTTACTTAAATTAATAGTGCTTAAAATAAAGCTGTATAAAAATCCTGTAAATAAATATTTAAATACATTTAGTATAATAAATATAAAGATCTCGCTATCCAGTGTTTATATGAGTAAACAGTGCTTTTACTTTGTTGTTCTCTTTGATAAATAAAATACAAATTTTGAACCCTTGGCACCTTTAAAGATTTCTAGGGTATTTATTATTTAGTTTGATAGCTTAAAAACACATTTATTAAATGGCGTTTAATTAGGATTTTAGAGCTGATTCTTGTGTGTCAGTGCCGCTCAAGTTAAGCCCATTGTTCGCGAACATGAGTTGTGGCAGGCCTATATCCGTTGTTCGGTATCCCGTATCCTGCTTCCGGCTTCCTGTTTCCGGAAAGTCAGCCATCCTTCACCTAATCGATTAGCGAATGCTTTATGCACTTTAACCCAAAAATGCCGAGACTCTCTGGGCTCGGAATCCATAACCATAACCATATATAACCATATATATCCGCATATTCGTAGGCCGGTCAACGCGTCAGTGGGTCACGGTTCTCCATCCCGCTCTCTCCCCTCTCTCTATCTCTATCTCTGTCTCTGGGGTCACCGGGGAAAGCCGAAAAAGAGAGGGAGAGAAGAAAATGTGGGGGAAATGGGGGAAAATGGAGAGCGAGCCGGAGAGGAATGCGGCATATCGACCGGTGTTGGTGTCACGCCATGCTGCGGTTGTTCAAAAAACAAGAAAACACTACAAAAAACACAACAAAAACAACAAAAAATGGGAAAAAAGAAAGCACACACACACACACATGCATAAGTTATATGCACATGTGTGTATATTATGTATTTATTTTATTATTTGCACTTTTGGCTACGTGCTGTGTGCCAAAAAGGGGGAATACCAAAGCAATTTGTTGTTGCCAGCCTATGGCAGCAGGTCCTTTGAGCCTCGCACAGATACATAGATACAGATACAAAGATACGCGGACACGCACACAGTTAAGCCGGGAAAAGCGAGGAAAAGCCCACTCACACTCACACTCACACTCACTCACACATGCAGTTGCAGTTGCAGTTGCATTCAAGGTTGCCGTGGATGATGTTGCAGCTAGAAAGTAGCAGGCAAGTGGCTCAAATTGGATTTTTCCTCATGCCTTTTCCTCAAGGGGGCGGGTTTTCCCCCTCGCTTTTCCCACCCCCTTTCAGTGGCTCACATAATTAGGAACCAGAGGCTGACACTGTAAACCAGTTGTCTTTTGTGGCTGCCATAAGCTTGTAAACAGCTTACAGACGCCTGGCCTTCGCCTGAAACTATAACAAAAAAAGCAGAAAAAGGAAGGAAAATGGGAAAAACACATTTTCCAATTCGTGCACGAGTCAAGGTCGCCGCAACACAAAATGCCAGGGAAAGCGGCAAAAGATAATCGGCAATGATGCGATTTTAAGTGCAGACAGCCAAGTGTCAGCGGAAATCAAACCGAAAGGGTTAAGGGGAAATATCGGGAAAAACTAAAAGGGGGGGTAACTGATTTGACACACGTGTGATGGCCAAATGGCAAGCTGATGAAATGGCAATAAATGCATTTCCCTTGTTTCCATTTGGCCGGAAAAACCAAAATCCCCCGCTCAAGCTGATTGCACGACACGCCGATTTCAGGCATTAAAAATGCATTTCAATTTCAATGTCAAAGCTAGGTATTCATTTATTCCAAGATCAAAGTCGCTGAACAATGTAATAATCTCGAATTTAACGTTTTTCTGTTATTTATAATTGATGCACGAAAGGCTTGTGTGTTTTGGTTTGCTAATGAATTTCCTATTAGTTATTTTTAACATTTAACATTTTATCTATTCTCTAAAGTGAATTTGACAATTTACTATGATTCATGATTGATACTCAAAAGACTCGTGTGAAAAGACATTATTTCTTCACTTTATAGTTTTTTTCCTTTTTATGGGTTATAAATTATCTGGTCTTGTTTTGATGGAATTTTCAAATAACTTTGTTAATAATTCTTAAATTTGCAATACAAAATCTTTGATTTGTTTTATATTTGCTAAATAGTCGAATATTTTAATTAATTTGCTGATGCTTGAATTAGTTGGAAAAATTAAATTTAATTAATTGGTTAGTATAAACTAGCCTTATAATCCTATGGATCTGACATCACAATAATAATAGTTCACTTAGTTCACGCTTAAATAACACACCCATGGTAAAACAATTAATCAACATAATCAATTGATGTTTGATACCCGTTTTCTCGATGAGTAACCCCCACTTAGCTCATCAGGTCAGAGTGCTCGTGACCTGGCCCGATAATCTTTGGCACTTGCCGCCCACTTGGGGGGTAATCTGGCTAAGCAAGGATAACAAGGATAACGAGGATGAAGAGCGTGTGTGTGTGTGCGAAACCTGTCTAAAAGTTTAATTTGCAGATTAGCCATCTCTTCAGCCCCTCGAAAACTGACACCTCTGGCCATGTACCCAAAGATTCAGATATTTGTGTACACAGATATCTGTATTTATTTTCGTATGTGCTCAGTCAACTGTCATTGTGGCCTAGAAATGCAAAACTTTTCAGCTGGCTCTCGAAACTTTTCACCGAGATGTAGCTTCAAGTTGGTCATTGATCCCTGGGAAGTAGGCCGTACAGCAATAGAAGTAATATACATATATACTTGAAGAACAAAACCTGGGAAAGGGCACAAAATGAGATATTTTTCGTAAAAATAGAATAGAAATAGATGAAGCCAACAAAATAACCCTTTTAATAAGCTTCTAAAACACAAAAAAAAAAAAAATAAAAAGAACTTTGGAGATTTATAGTTTTACCTAAGGATAATTCCTATTACTTGAGGCCATTGCCTCAGTAGTTTTATGGAATTCTAACCATTAAAAACAGTTCAAATACAAAATATTACAATTTTCTAATAACCATTAAAATCTAAAATAAACCTACAGCTATTTCAACTGCAATAAAAATATCAAAAAGTAATAATAAAAAAAAATTAAAAAAATAATTAATAACTCTTCGGACTTATGCTTTTAGTCATTATCAACAAAGTAAAATACAAAAAAATTTCTGATAGTGCCATACTAAGAATCTCCCTTGAAACTAAAATTTCTTTCCCATAAAAAATGATTTCTATAACATGACTATTACTTCAAGCTCATAAATATTGATGGCATTTCCCAAAGTTCAAACCTTGTAGGACAGTGTAATCAAGCCCCTGTCCCTGGTGCCCTGAATTAAGCTACCTGTGGAGGTGTCAGTTTTATTGTGTAAACCGTTGCATAAACGTCAAAAGTTAGTTTGCGAAAAGGAAAGGAAGTGCTGGGGAAGGGCGAGTGCAAATTGTGCCTTGTTCTTGGTTTTGCACTTTTACTTGTTCTTGTTCTTGTTCTTGTTGTGGTGTCAAATATACCGGTCGTGGTGAAAAGCTGCCTCCCTCTCTCTCTCTCTCTCAGTTCGCCTTTTGCCCTTCTCCCTCTTGCATTTTCCCAGAGGAAAATAATGCATTTTCCGAATTGATCCCGCTAATGAAGACGGAAAAGCTGTCTGACCGATTCTGAATCATTGTCAAGGTTAATCTATAATTAACCTTCGATAGTGGGAAATCAAAAAGAGCCGCCGTCGATACATTTACGGATATAGATACATTCGTATCTGTCTTTTGGCACGAGGCGGATTAAACGAACCGGCGACGTGCTAAAATTAACAGCCATCAAATTTTCTATTTGTGTGCTCCGATATTTCTGCGTAAAGGCAAAAGTAATCTCTCGAAATGTGAAATATTTGATTAATGTTCAAGTTTTTTTTTTTAAATAAGATATTAAATATCAATTAAAAATATATTATTGTTTTATTAAATATTTTCAGTAATATTTCTACTAAAAATACCAACTACCTCAGAATTTATATTTCACCATAACTTATAGGTTTTTCATAGTTCGAAACTATTCTTTTCGAGACACCACTATGAATATACAAATTAAGATGATCAGGAAGATAAGATCGTGTTAATAAGTTGGCAGGTGGTTTCATTTATCAGCCAAGTGGACGTAAAGTTTACGACCGAATTATTCCCATTCTCAGCTCTCTCGCCCGCCTTTTTTTTGAGTGTGGTGAAAAGCTTCTTCCTCTCTTTCGCCCAAGAAAATGTTGTTTGTTTTTGCCTTGTTTCGGCTTCTTAATTATTGTGACAAAACTTTTGGCAAAAGTTTCGATCAAGTTTTTTGTATTTTTTGGCAAACAGATTTAGGCGATAAGAATAAGTTTTTTATATTATCATCTTCAGCAGCGACAAGAAAATAAACATTTATCGGACTGGACTTTGCCTTAAAAGTATGCTATTTAGAAATAAAATCCCTTGTGATTTGTAGTCCAGTCTTAATAGTAATATATAAAAAGAAAATCTACAACAAATGAAAAAAGTGAACATCAGAACTTGATATAATGAACTCAAGAACAAAATGAAATACTTCGAAATAAAGACAACTTTTCAATGTAAATAAATCAATAAACGCTGAAACATTCAATGGAATTTTAATGAAATAAAAAACCAACAAAGTAAAAGTTTTGGGAAACCCAAGGAAATAAAAGAAAGAATAAATAACAAAATATCAAACCAATAAAGCCTATTAGAACTAGAAAATAATAAACAAACAGCCAGATAAATTAAAAACTAGAACTTTTATTGTTAAAAAAAATTTGAGTAGCTGAAAAATAGTTTAGTCAATATAAGACATTTTAATAGAGATCAAACAGTCAAATGAAAATTCAATTTCAACTGCAAAAGAGGCAAACAAACAAATATAAAATAATCTAGCAACAATTAAAATAGAAATCGAATGCCTAAAAAAATATAAATGAATAAAATCCTGCACAGCACACTAGCTAAATAAATAGAATAAACAATGGCGTCCAATAGTGTATTAAAATAAATATAAACAAAATAGAAAGCAAAGCAATCAGTGGCTAAATAAAATATAGTTTGTTAAAAAAAGTGAAGTATAAACAAAAGAGCAAAAACAATGTCGATGGCATTGTGCAATTTAAACGGCGACGGCAGTGCGGCGCAGTCGACGGCGCAGTCGCAGTCGCCGGCCGTCGCGGCAACGCATTCACATACGCTGCAGCAGGAGAGTACGCCGCTGCTCTTGGGCCACGACCAGAGTGCTGCTGCGGCAGAGGTCGCCAGCAGAGGTGACGCAGCGGTCACTTCCATTGAAATGCCCACTGTCGCAGGCAGCGATTCTGCTGCCGTACCATCGCTGCCTCTGCCAGCATCGCTGCCAGCGCAGCCGCCAGCGCAGCCGCAGCCACCGCTGCTGATGGCGCTGCCCGCCAACCTCAACTTCGTAACGGGACCCACGACACAGCAGCTGATGATCGGTAACGGCGCCGTCGGCGTCATTCCCTCGACCAACGACAACAATAACAACAACAACAATGTGGACAATACTAGCGACGAATCGAACCCGGTCACCATTTACAGGTATAAAGGTCAAAGGTTTCGAGGTTTCGAGGTTCCAAAGTCATGAAACAAGTTCGTTTTTTTCGAGAGGGGTTTCTAAAGCACTTATGCATGTGCCCAAAAGTATGCAACCATTTTGGAAGACAAAGTATTTCTACTTCCAAGCACACTTTTAGACACCTGTAAAGCTTCCTTAGCATCTCCATTAACTAATGAATTTACAGGTCTATAAGTCAAAGGTTTCGAGGTTCAAAATCAGGTGTCTAAAAGTGTACAACCATCTTAAAAGATGGCAAAAACTTTAATTATTAAAAAAAAATTGGAGCGTGTATTTATTTTTGTTCAAACAGAAAAAATTGGCGATTTGTTGAGTAGTCTTTAAAAATGCACTAATGCGGCGTGTACGTAATATAAAGACCATATTTTCGAGATGGAGTACTCACATATGAACGTTGTATATTTAATAATGTTTTTAAACTAAAGACTATAGTAACCTATTGTAATACAAGAAAACTAAAACATTTAAAGAATGGTTTAACTAAGGTTTTTAATAGGTTTTGACGATCTGTTCACGATATCCCCTAATCCGATCTATCACCAATTTTTCATTGCAGGTGCCGGGCTCCCATTGCGTCACTCGACTGTATGGAGGAGTTCAGTGGTACGGGCGGTCATCTTGATTTCGGTATCAAATTTCTCACTATCATATAGGCTTATCATTTATGTTGTTTACTGTCGACTGCTCGACTTTGACTTTTTCGATTGTTTTCGATTGCCTGCCTCTGCATGCTACCACATACAAGCAAGTATCGCTTGCTTCAAAATAGCTCAAGTAAATGAAATACATACCTCCCTTTATAAGTGTATATTGTACAAAGAGAACCCTAAACTAAGGCACACTCCACAATCAATGTACGTAGTTCAGCTGTCGGTAATTGTGGGTTTTGTTTAGCGAATTAAGGCGAGGGCGTAGTGGCCCTCGAATGAGGGCCAAAACATGCAATTCGGGCTGTAATTTATTTTATTCATTTTGTAAGGAAAAACAACTCCACCCACCCGAACCACCTGCCACAATCACGCAACCAAGGAAGTACAAAAAATAATAATAAAAAGACAAAAACAAAAAACACGCACCGGACGCACGCACTTTTCATGGAGGAAGGGGAAAACCGGGGACAGGAAAAGCCAACGGAAAAATGTCACTTTTGTTTATTCATGTTCATTGCACGTGGCGCTCTTTGTTCTTTTAATATACTCTCCTCCGAGGCGGTTTCAATTAGTTAATTGAAAAAAGCATTATGGCATAAACACCTTTTTTAAGAGACCAGAATAACCAGATTTTGAAAGTACCTCTGGTCGATTTAATATTTTCTAGGTCATAACTTACATTTTTTAAAATTTAAGAACAAAGAAGAATAATCTCCCAAATAAATATACTAAATTTAAAATAAAAATGGTTTAAATGGTTTTTTAGGAGATTATTCTTTATGTATAGGCGACAGTTTTATACAAAGACTACAGTTTTTTTGGTGTAAAAGAGAATTTACTTATTTTTCCATTACATTACCAAAAAAGGAACGTTTTTTTATTGATGTTAGGTAATACATTTTTCATTAAACACTTCACACAATTCCAAAATTAGTGTAGAGTATTGGCACTTCGTCACCCTGATTTAGTATGCCTTTTATGGTGGCATTGCGTTTGTGTTGTTAGCATATTCTTGTTGCTGTTGCGTTGCTGTTGGTTTTTGCACGTTCCCGGCACTTTGAAAGCCCCTTAACCACAAAAAAAAAACAGAGAATGAAAAAAGGTTTCTCACTAAACGAAACGCACATTTTTCCCCAAATCGAAACGTTTCACTTCCATGCCGGCACCCGAACACTCGACCACTCGACCACTCGACTATTTGGATCCTGGCAACCCCGCCGCGATGACCGTGTACCTGGGCATTCCGCTGCGCGCAGGCCGCTCCATCAGCCTGGGCTCCAATCCGGCGCTGCCGCTGCGGCACGGCTCCACGCCGACGCCGGGGCTGCGGTACAAGAATCTCGGCAAGAGCGGCCTCCGGATCTCCAACGTGGGCCTGGGCACCTGGCCCGTCTTCTCGCCGGGCGTGAGCGATGAGCAGGCGGAGGCCATCCTCAAGCTGGCCATCGAGAGCGGGATCAACCTGTTCGACATCTCGGAGGCCCACTCGGAGACCGAGATCGGCAAGATCCTGCAGCGGGCGGGCTGGAAGCGGACCGCCTACGTCATCACCACGAAGGTCTACTGGAGCACCAAGTGAGTTCGGGTTCCGAAATGTCATTCTTAAGCACCTTAGAATAACAGTTCTGATATAAAAGTGCCTTCGTATTGATTTTCTATCAAATCTATTGCAAAGCTTTAAACATTTTAAGTCTCTTAGGCTTAAAACAAATCTTTAAAAATTTTACCTAATAAATAATACAAATCCTATCTACCCTAGGTTTTATTTAAGAAATAATATAAAATATACCTAGCCCAGTTTTAAGAATAATTGTGTATTTGGGCTTTCTCACAAATGTTATTGATTAAGTTTTGAGTTTGTAAATCTCTTAAAATTGTTTGTTAACAATTTAAAATATCTAATTTAAGATATTTATCACCACATTCTAGGGTTTCTCAAATAATAAGATAATTTAATCTTTCAAAGTTTACGTAAAATAAAAATTACAACTCAGACAATTAATGTTTTTACCATTTGAATAAATATCTTGCCCAGGAATGTTTTTGTACTTGTATTAAAAACATATTACTAATATTTATGATTTGTTGCATTTTTCTAAGGTCCGAGGAACGAGGTCTTTCCCGGAAACACATCATCGAGTGTGTTAGGGCCAGTTTGCAGCGATTGCAGCTGCAGTACATCGATATCGTCATCATTCACAAGGCGGATCCCATGTGTCCCATGGAGGGTAAGATTTCAGAACTTATAAGCAGATTACTAAGTATTAAGGAAATAAAATTGCCTGAATCTGAATATTTAACCAAAATTAGCTAAAATATTCGATTTGACTAAATAAAATAAATAAAACTCCCTATTTTTGCTCATAACAGGCGGTCTTTTTGTTATGCGCCTCGATTTGACTAAATTACGACCTAAAAACGGCCTAAAAATAACGTATTTTTCGTCAAAAAATAATTCTCCCTATATTTGCACAAAAAAAATCGGTATTTTGGTCGACAAATTGCGAAACTAAGTCAGATTAAGGAATGTGATACCTCGTTGAGCTAGTAATTAAATTCCCAATCATTTGGCATTTAAATCTGAAAAAAAATAATTTTTGAAAATTTTTCGAAAAAAAGGATGATACAACCCCTTACAAAAAATGCGAAAACTCGTCAAAAAATAAATTTCCCGAAAAGTGATAGGGATCGATAGCCTTGGTTGTTACCTGCTCATAACAGGCGGCATTTTTGTTATGCGTCTCGATTTGACAAATTGCGAAATGAAGTCAGATTAAGGAATGTGATACCTCGTTGAGCTCGTAATTAAATTCCCAATCAATTGGCATTTAAATCTGAAAAAATTTAATTTTTGAAAATTTTTCGAAAAAAAGATGATACAACCCCTTACAAAAAATGCGAAAATGGGTCAAAAAATAAATTTCCCGATTTGTGATATGGATCGATAGCCTTGGTTGTTAGCTGCTCATAACAGTCGGTCTTTTTGTTGTGCGCCCCGATTTGACTAAATTACAACATAAAAACGGCTTAAAATTAACGTATTTTTCGCCAAAAAATAATACTCCCTATTTTTGAGCAAAAAAAATCGGTATTTTGGTCGACAAATTGCGAAATGAAGTCAGATTAAGGAATGTGATACCTCGTTGAGCTCGTAATTAAATTCCTAATCAATTGGCATTTAAATCTAAAAAACAAAAATTTTGAAAATTTTTCGAAAAAAAGGATGATACAACCCCTTACAAAAAATGCGAAAACTCGTCAAAAAATAAATTTCCCGAAAAGTGATAGGGATCGATAGCCTTGGTTGTTACCTGCTCATAACAGGCGGCATTTTTGTTATGCGTCTCGATTTGACAAATTGCGAAATGAAGTCAGATTAAGGAATGTGATACCTCGTTGAGCTCGTAATTAAATTCCCAATCAATTGGCATTTAAATCTGAAAAAATTTAATTTTTGAAAATTTTTCGAAAAAAAGATGATACAACCCCTTACAAAAAATGCGAAAATGGGTCAAAAAATAAATTTCCCGATTTGTGATATGGATCGATAGCCTTGGTTGTTAGCTGCTCATAACAGTCGGTCTTTTTGTTGTGCGCCCCGATTTGACTAAATTACAACATAAAAACGGCTTAAAATTAACGTATTTTTCGCCAAAAAATAATACTCCCTATTTTTGAGCAAAAAAAATCGGTATTTTGGTCGACAAATTGCGAAATGAAGTCAGATTAAGGAATGTGATACCTCGTTGAGCTCGTAATTAAATTCCTAATCAATTGGCATTTAAATCTAAAAAACAAAAATTTTGAAAATTTTTCGAAAAAAAAGATGATACAACCCCTTACAAAAAATGCAAAAATTCGTGAAAAAATAAATTTCCCGAAAAGTGATAGGGATCGATAGCCTTGGTTGTTAGCTGCTCATAACAGGCGGTCTTTTTGTTATGCGCCTCGATTTGACTAAATTACGACCTAAAAACGGCCTAAAAATAACGTATTTTTCGTCAAAAAATAATTCTCCCTATATTTGCACAAAAAAAATCGGTATTTTGGTCGACAAATTGCGAAACTAAGTCAGATTAAGGAATGTGATACCTCGTTGAGCTAGTAATTAAATTCCCAATCATTTGGCATTTAAATCTGAAAAAAAATAATTTTTGAAAATTTTTCGAAAAAAAAGATGATACAACCCCTTACAAAAAATGCGAAAACTCGTCAAAAAATAAATTTCCCGAAAAGTGATAGGGATCGATAGCCTTGGTTGTTACCTGCCCATAACAGGCGGTCTTTTTGTTATGCGTCTCGATTTGACTAAATTAGGACTTTAAAACGGCTTAAAAGTAATATATATGTATATAATTATACCTATTCTACTATACTTGAAATTATTTTTTACAAAATCTTTGGAGTATGTACTATTGGAAAACTTTGATAGCAAAGTGTTTCATTAGAAGTCGAAATTGCTTTGCATATTTTGTAAACTCTGTTTCATTTCCCTGCCAGAAGTGGTGCGCGCCATGAGCTACGTTATACAGCAGGGCTGGGCAATGTACTGGGGCACCGCCAGGTGGAGCCAGGTGGAGATCATGGAGGCCTACACCAACTGCCGCCAGTTCAACTGCATCACGCCCATCGTGGAGCAGTCCGAGTACCACATGTTCTGCCGCGAGAAGTGCGAGCTCTACCTGCCGGAGATGTACAACAAGATCGGCGTGGGCCTCATGGCCTGGGGCCCCCTCTCGATGGCCCTGAGCGACACCCAGAACGGCGACAAGCTCTTCCTGCCCAAGGGATCCTTCAAGACGAAGAGCTTCTCGTGGACCGAGGACGAGATCAATCGCAATGTGAGTTTTAAATAGTATTTATAACATTATAGTGGTATTTCTTATACGGTATTTTGACCATCAATATGATATCAATATGCAATCGTTAGTTGTTGTATTTAAAGGAATCGAATTTATAAAATTAATAAGGTTTAAAATATCCATGGAATAATATAATAGTACCATCAATAGCACTTTTTAACTGTCAATCGAAATATCATTCCAAAATACAGGAGTTATAATATACTTGTATATGTCTGATCTCTAAAAAATAATATATTGATAAATATAATATGATTTTTGGACATTTAATACCAACATTAAATCATAAGACAATGGGTACTATTAATTTCTTAAAGGGAAAACATTTTCATGAATACAGATTCATCAGGTACCTTTTTTCTGGTCTAATATTGTATGGCTTATATTTGCAGGCCGCTCTGTCGCCACAGGGCAGTTGGGGCAAGGACCGGATTGAGGAGGGGCGCCGCCACTGCGACCGCCTCCGTGACCTTGCCGCCCTCGCCGAGAAGCTGGGCTGCAGCCCCACCCAGCTGTCGATCGCCTGGTCGCTGAAGCACGAGCCTGTCCAGTGTCTGCTGCTGGGCGCCACCTCGGCGGAGCAGCTCCACCAGAGCCTGCAGTCGTTGCAGGTAAACATATTAAAAAATACTATTATCACTTAGGTAGCAAAGAAAAATACAATTTAAAGGACGCCTTTGAAATGCTTACTACATTGCATTGTCCAGAAAATAAACCATTCAATTCACTTTTCTTAGGTTAACTAAGAAACTACTAATTAAGAATGAATAAAATGCCCAGGTGTGCCACACAAATCACTATGGGTTTGAGTCAATTTTAAATGTAATTTCAGTTGTCCATTAGTATGCAACAATATATTTTGAACTCAAAAGTGCAACTTTTACAACTAGAAGTGATTTCGAAACACAATTCAAAACAAAGATAAAGGGTTTCAAAGTTTATCACTCATACGTACCGTACTTTTATCACTCATACGTACCGTATGTTGCTCCTGATCCAATCTTCATTTTAAAATTTCCTATATTCCCACCAATCATTGGTTTTTGACTTTCCTAATTTAGCACTTATGGCAACGAAATCATTAAGTTGACAACAACAAACATAAAACAATTATTTTTTGGCATACGTGTCGTATGACTAATTTTTAAAGGAAGTTTTTTGGGTCCACCCTAAGGAGAAAATATTTTTGGCGATCTATCGTTGGCTTTGCAATCTGTTCTTAATTCAGTAGTTGTTACAACCAAAATAATAAGGTGACAAGAAATACAATTTTAAATATGATTTTGGGACGGGTAAAATGTTTTTTGGACCACCCCTTTGAAAAATATGTTTGGTGACTGACTTAGGGTCTTAATTTATAGGGTCTTCAGTTATTTGATGCCAAAATATTTTCCACTTTTTAAGACCCAGTTTGCCTAACCCCTGACCTCCCGTTGCAGCTGCTGCCACGGCTCTCCTCGAGCGTCATGCTGGAGCTGGAGCGGATCCTGGAGAACAAACCGGTGCGGCCGCCGATGATCTCGACCCTGGCGCTCCGGTGACAATCAGCGTGCCCGCAGGGGCCGCTCAGCCTGAGCGGCGGCGGACCCTGCGGCGCAGACTCGCCGAAGCACGAGGATGAGGCCTTCATCGAGGAGGTGGACGCTGCCAAGGATGCTGCCAAGCAGGGATTCTGCCTCATCCAGTGACGAAAGGAGTCCTTAGATAACGATAATAAATTTTTGAAAGTGATTAGCAGTAAAACTAGCCTAAGTAGCAATACCATGACGACAACAATAAGCAAGCAGGAGCAGCAGCAACATCTCCAGCAGCAACAGCAGCAGCAGCAATATGTGCAACTTCAGCAGCAAGCTTTGCTGACCAGCGATTCGGTAGCGGTTCCCATCGCAGCTGACCCCCAGTTCGACACCCTGAATAATAACAACCAAAACAATAACACCGGCAGTCCGGACCAGGCTCTGCCCTCCAATGATGAGCCCCAGAAACGCCGCTCCCTGCTGAACTTCAAGAGTCTGGACTTTCACCTGAAGTCCCTGTACAGCGGATTGCGCAGTCATTCGGGCACGGGAACTCCGCCAAGCCAGCCGAACAGCTCGATTCCAGCGGTGGATCTGACGCAGCGCAGGATGCCCTATTTGCGGGTGGAGAGTGTGGATCCCGAGGAGCCCAGGGGATCGGTCATCCATCCCGGACACTCCCCCAGTTTTCTATCACCCTACAGTGGAGCAGGGGCAGCCGGAGCTGCCAGCCTCCAGTTGCCCTCCAGCGATGGGGCCACCATCAGGAGATCCTCAACTTCGGATATAGTTAATTGCCGGCGGGGAGGGGGAGCAGGGGGATCAGGGGGAGGAGCAGCCTCTGCCCAGGACAGCCGGAGGCCCAGCACATCGGATTTGCTCAGAAAGGCCAGGGAACGGAAGGGCAGTGAGGCCCGAATGGGCAGGAGTGTCTCCCACAGTGGGCTGACCAGGGGCGGACCCGGCGGAGGAGGCGGTGGTCTGGGGGGCAGAAGAACCAGCATGGCCTTCTAAGGAAAAAAAGAAACCCAGGAAACCCTTAGTGGCGAAATATGGCAAAAAAAAACTGTTGATCAAATCTGAATCAGAAATAGGCTGACAAAATGGCGCTTATGAATTTTTATCTAGTTAAAACAGAAAACCAAACCAAAAAAAAATACCAATAATAGAGCAGCTATTAAGAAACAACTTTTTTGTGGATCTATTATCATTATGATTATAATATGGTTACTATAATTGCGCCTCAAAAAGAACTAAAGTTAGTAGATAACAAAAAGAAATCAACAAGTAATGAACAGAAACATAACATTTCATCTCTCTTAAACTCTGTATCTCTCTCTCCCCCAGCAATTTAATATATATACCTATATTTAAAGAACCCCCAACTTTTATGACAATATTAGAACCTAACTATCGTGTACTATCGTTAACTATCGCCTGGCAAAAGCTCTAAAACTAGCCTGCGTTCTGGCCCCAAAACAAAAGAGAAAATGATTCAAGATCGATCCATTATATCATCTTACTGTGAGAGTTCATATCAAGCGAAAAGGATACCCAAAACTGTATGGGGATTGCAAAGAAGACGTCTTTTTTGATTAATTGATTAGTAGAAGACTTAACGAGTGTTAAACGATTGTTAACGATTACGATTGAGGCGCTGGAGGGGAGCGCTTAGCGATTAAAGATTACGAAAAACGATAACGCAAAGGGAAATTCGTCGGATAATTAAATTTTAGCTAAATAAAAGAAGATAGAAGTGAATAAAACTCAAATGAAAAACAAAGAAACAATTCAAATCAAATCTTATTATATAGACATTACTAGCATTATGTAGTTAAATAATAACAATTCAAGCGAAATTTTTTTAAATCAACAAACGAAAAACAAAGCAAATGCCTTTCATAACAGCAACAACAACAACAACAACAAATAGTTTATATTTTAAATATATGCAGTCTATATATAGATATACACACACATATGTGAAGAAAACGAAAGCGATGAAATAAAACAAAGCAGCAACAAATTGTTATTAATTAATTGTAGTCCATTGTCCCGATGGCCCATATATCCCATATCCCATATTTCATATAAGCAACAAAAAACAAAAAACAAAAAACAAAAACACCAATATAGCAATATGTAGGTTATACATATAGGGGAGTTCCCGAACCGAACCCCCTCCCGAATACCATGTATTTTATCATCATTATCGAGTACACATATATAAAGTCTTTCTCACATACGGACTGTGATTTCATATAAAGTAAACGTAAACAAAGTAAACAATTAATTATTATGTCTAACCTAATGTAATTAAAGGCTAAGTTCATTCGAGAGATCTCGCAGATAGACACACACACACCGCCCCCCAGAAAAAAAGAATCACCTAAGTAATGTGAGAAACTGTTGGAAAACAGCTCCTTAAATAGCAATTTTCAAATCGAATGGCATTATATACTCTACTCTACAATTAATTAACCAAATGCGATTGCCTTAATAACTAATAATAGTACAGGGTCTGATCAGATCAGATCAGATCGGATCGGATATAACCCAGTCGGGGGCCGGTTTCCTCAAACTTCAGTTCCAGATCGGAATACATTATATACACGCAACCATTCGCATACTTATTCCCCGCACTGTTGCTTGAGAAATCGTCCCGAGAGCAGAGAAATAAGATATATATTGGTTTGGCTCCTTCAGATCACTCGCAAAATATATATATACATATATAGGGAGTACTTATATGTATGAGAGTAATTGCATTTTTTAGTAAGTAGTTAATCCGTCCTCAACAACGGCTAACCAAATGAAGAATTAAATTATGGCGATCGGGCGCTGCTTAAGTTGAGAGCCAAAAGCCTGGTTTCGAAAGTACTTCAAAAATCGTATATGCCTTTGTATATTTTCATTCGTATTCTTACCATTTTTCTATATTTATTTTAGATATTTTAAATTTTCAAACATTGTGAAGCTTAAAGTTTGTTATTTAAAGGTTGTGATATGAATCAAGAACCCTTTTAATTGAAAAATTGCTGAAAAAATCAAATACATATCTACAAAAAAGCAAATTATATTATTTTAAAATATTATTATATGTTAGGCTCGCTAAAATGATGCTCGTACAATTATAGCATAAACTCATGTTGCTTTATTTAGAAATATTATTGGAAACTTAACTAAAATTAAATAATTTTCAAAAATTGTCTTTTCCTATGATTTAGGCTTTGAAAATTAAATGTCAATTTTTCATAACGGTTAATAGGAAGTACAGACTTGTCAGGAAATATTAACATTGGTATTTCCGTGGATTTTAAAATATATTTTTTTTAGAAAAAAGTTTGTATAAAGCCCGGCTAAACGGTTAATCAATAAAAAGCAGCGCCTGTCTATAGATCCAATCATCAATTGTGGCCACGCCCCCTAAAACAAAAAAACAGCCGTAACGTGTGAACCGGAAAGCAATAATTCAAAATAATGCTGAAAAAAGTTCAACTAACCAATTGATGTACATAGAAAAAACACCAACAGAAAAAGCACCTACACACAGCTGCATTATGAGATTATTTTTAGTCTGTTGTTATCGCAATTATTATCACGATTATTATGATTACGATTATTATTAACACGTAGCTAGTAAAATCGAATGAGAATCAGCAATTTATATGCCTAAGCCTGAAAGTAACCAACAATACACTCACACAAACTCATGCCGTTAATGTTAAACACAAACACAAACAGAACCACACACACAGAGACACACATACACTGAGATAAAATAAAGGATAACGAAAGCAAATGCAGCAAAGAAAAGCAAAAGCAAAAACGTAACGGAAAGTATTAAGAAGCAGAGAAACGTAGCGATTAAATCTAGTCAACAAATTTTACTTTACACCAAACCAGAAATATTTATAACAATTGCAATAACTAAACGAGGAGCGGTATAACAGAAGCGTATATATAATAAAATATCTTAAAATTATTTTCTTATCGAAACTGGCAATAATAAATATTAATATTAACTTAAACAACTAAATAATTATATTATACACGCGCGAGAACTTCGTAAGTTAACTTCGCATAGATGAAACATTTTGGAGGATCATTAAGAACCAAAAACACTTGAAACTCGAAACTCGAAACTCGAAACACACACGTTACACTGAGAGAAGAGCTCGCTTACACAAACACTTGATTTCAAATTAAGTCCACGCCAAGCGTTCACACACACAAACACACAATAACCGTTACTGCACACCCACACACACGAAATCAGCTTTACTTTAGATTTTCGATAATTAATTGCAGGGTTGTCGCCTAGGGTTGCTTAGAAATCGATGGGAAGACCCAATCCAGATTCAGACGCTTGCATATAGCCCTAGATAAGAATATATACAGAGTACATTAACAAGCAATACTGCAATAACGCTCGTATTATTTCGCTAAGTTACTAGAAAACCAAGTAATAAATAACAGACGAACCTCTTGATCAACGTGCGTAAGAAATCCAATGCGAGTCAGCGACGATGAGGGCAAATTGTTTACATTTCACTTTTAAAAGCCACATTTAATACTAATATTTCGAAAAGCTAATTAAAATAAGTTATAACAATAACGAACAACAACAAGAACATGAACAGCAAAGAGCAACACAGCTAAAATACTGAAAAATTATATAAAAATACAAACTCTTATCTTTCAACCAAAGAAACGCGTGTTTTTATTACATTTTCTTGGTGGGCATTATATGGGGAGAAATATACATACCCATATTTATACTTTTTCTTTCTTGTGTCCATCTTAAAAGTTCGGCAGTACCCTAATTTCCCTATATAGTACACATTTTCGAGATAAGGCACCAAGGTGACCCAAAAACGGACCTCTACACTCTATTACTTTACCAATCGGGTTCCGATTTTAAGGTAGCTTGCCCCTTAAAGTTTGTATCTTGATTACCAACACAAAATTGTAAACGGATGTCAGTATTTTGACCAATTTTTGTGATTGCTTTTTCTAAGTTTCTGTTGGCTTGCCAAAAGGTGACCCAAAATTGTTCTTCCAGAGCCCATAACTTGACCAATATGATCCCGATTTCAAAGTGACATACCTCTAAGATATAGGGGTCTAATTACCTTTTAATCTGCATTATACAATTTCATGTTTGATCTAGTTACTTACTAAGTTGCAATTAGTGAAGTATGTTCCCATACCTATCTATACAATCCAAAACTTTTTTATAAAAAAACTTGCTAAGTTTATGTAATATTCTTTTAACCATAAAATAAATAAAAGGTAATCCAAATCACAGCGCGTTGGCATGTGAAAATCTATAGCCTGGGGCATTTTGGTCAAAAAACATTTCAGTCGACACATTTAAATAGATGTGACATATCTTAAGCCACATTTTTTAGTTGCATAAGCCGATTCCGGGCCACGCGGCTCTGCCCATTGATCAGTTGGCCACTATTTGCACACACCACGTCAAATCAGCCGCATTATGGTGATTCCGATTCCGATTCCGATTACCATTCAGAGATCTCCGGACCTGGGAACCCGGCCTGCCCCAACACAAGATGCTTTGACACCCCACTGTAAAAACAACAACAGCGAGGTGATAAAAGTCCAATCGCCTCAAAATGCACAGTGAAACGTCACTAACTCAAACAATCATTTATGTAGCTTTAGGAAATTTAGAACTATAACTGAAATGGCTGATAATACAGCCTATTTATCTTTCAAAACCACTCTATAATATTATATCAGTATCAATATTGTAATCCCAAATTATTGCATTATCTTTATTAAATAGTTTACGCATTCAGGTTATTGGCAATAAACATTTATTGCCCTTTAAAATATGTATCATTTCTTTGTTGTACGATTACAAACTTGCAGTTTTAATGGCCCAAAAATGTTTGTAAGCATCAATTAGGACCATAGGGGTCCATTAATTTCGTTTGATCTTCAGAAGTTGGACTGTAATTTAGATATTTGTTTCTTCTTTACCTACTTAAGCGAAACTGAAACTAAAAGCGAAAAACGTGCTGGTAACGGGTCATCAGAAAACCGAGAGATCGAGGGGAAAAGAGATGGCTCATGTATTTGTGGGCTGCGCATGCGCAACAGCCCGCATTAAATAATTTATACAAAAATGCACAGAAAATTAACAAATTTGAAAACGATGTTGCATGATATAATAATCCGGCTGCCTGGGATTCCGAGATGCCAATCCACGATCACTACCGCTGGCCCTTCCCAGCCCAAAATTTCTGTTGCAATACAACCACTTACACTGGGAGAAAAGGTGTGCGCATTCCATTTACTGGTCTGCTAAATTGTTGGACAACATAGACTTAAGTATCTGCAAAAGTCAAAGCTTAAAAAATTATTAAGAAAAATAAAAATGATTCCTATAATAATAGCACAACTACAGTAAAAGTAATCACGAGAAAAATATTAATATTCATTGTCTTAACTGATTTGAATTCTTAAATAATCCTTATGAACTCAAATAAATTCTGATCCCTATACTTAAAAAACTATCCAAATGTTATTAAATGTTACTCAATTTGTATAACTGTACATACTTCATCGGTCTCAAAAATTCAACAGATTTAATCTGGATAGAAATATTAATTTTCATCTCATTGTTGATAACAATAATCCATGTGAACTGATTGTTATGATCGTTTCGGAGGGGCTTATATTAAAATTTGCGCTATCTATGTTCGGCTTTTATTTTCAGTGTAAGCAGCGAACCGTTCAAATCGATAATCGTATGCAAAAAGCCGGTCAGTTTGTTGCGGTGACTTGACCTACGACGCACCTCGTCCCGGGAAGCGCATCTGCTTAAGCTTCAACTGGTTAAATAGTGTTATCCGCTTGAGTTTGTTGTTGCTATTGTTATTGTTATTGTGTTACTGTTACTGTTACTGATTTGTTTTTGTTTTCGTTGCTTGTGATTTGGGCAGTTGGAGAAATAGATGGCAAACAGGGTGCTTTTTAGTCATTACTATGGGTTATTATCTCTCAAATTACGATGATTCAGCTTAAAATTCAGCTTAGAAAGCTGATCTATAGATGCTATCATGATAAATTATGTTTCAAATAAGTTATAGCTGTATAGAAAGTAGAACTATAGCTGCCCTTCCAGAACTTATATTTTAAACATTTTTAATCCGATTTCTAAATGTCAGTATCTTAGCATATCATTTATTTTAGGCAATTTTTTTGTTCGAGATAATAAGAGATAAACTGGGTTACCTATCCCATTTAAGAAGTCAAAGGTTTGATCTTATTTGTTAACTAAAGATGGGACTTGTATATTTTTTGAAAGCCCGTTTTCTTCCTTATGATGAATGTAAATTTCCTTCAAAAAGAAACCCACCCATAACGAACACCCTGTACCGTCCCATTGATATCTCAGGTGAGTTACAAGAGCAGCATGGTTTTCGGCAGGTGATGATGACTCCACATCGATGGCTCTCCGCCGCTGACGTCACGGGCCACAGCCGCGTCTAACGGTTGTGCTTGGCGGATCTCCGGCGGAACTCTTGTATAAAAACGTTGGGTTGTCTGGAGAGTGGCATCATTCGCTAGCCGGGAACAGTTCGACGCACAGGTGTCGTCTTTGATTCCACCTTTTAACTCAATTCAAAACCAAGATCAACGCCGAAATGAAGGTGAGTTGGGGGAATCCCTACCGTATGTGGATTACCAGCTGGATATGTGCTAAACGGATTACCTTGAAAACTAGGTCTTCATCTGCCTGTTGGCCACCATCTGCGCCTGCAATGCCACCTTCCTCTCCTTTTTGGGAGGCGGTGGTGGTGGAGGAGGAGGAGGAGGGAGCAAGATCACCTATAATGTGATAGCCACGCCCAGTTCGGGAGGAGGCGGAGGTCATGGTGGAGGTCATGGCGGAGGTCATGGTTATGAACATGCCCAGGGACATGGTTATGCCCAGGGACATGGCTATTCCCAGGGCGGCGGCGGTGGACATGGACATGGACACGGTGGCTCCTCGCAGATCATCAAGGTCATTCTGCAGGAGGGCCAGGGCTACAGCAACGCTGGAGGATCAGCCGGAGGCATTGTGTCCTCGGATCATGGTCATGGTCATGGTCATGGCTATGCCAGTGGTCACTCGTATGGCCACGAGCATGGCTCTCATGGCGGTCAGCAGACCCAGATCTTCAAGATCATCGAACAGGCCCCGGCACCAGCTCCTGTTCTCGTTCCCATTCCCATTTCGATTCCTGCTGCTGCTCCGGCTCCCACTGCCTATCATGCCTCGGGCGGCTCCAGTGGCTACTCCTACGGCCATGGACACTCCTATGGCCAGTCGTATGCCTCGGGACATGGCTACGGGGGAGCCGCATCCTTCGATGCCCAGCAGTTCAACTCCATTCTGCCGCAGATCCTCCAGCTGGTGCTGCAGGAGGACTCCTTTGGCGGCGGTGGCTTCAGCGGTGGTGGATCCTCCGATGTGGCTGCCATCAACAGCCAGCTGATCAACACCTACGGCTCCAAGGGCAAGGCCATCATCCTGAAGGCTGACCAGGCGCAGGGTGACTACTTCAAGAGCGGCCATGTGGTGCAGCGCGGCACCCTGAAGGTGATGCGTGTCCAGGAGCAGCAACAGCAGTCCCAGGGTGCTGGTGGCTCCAAGGGAGGCTGGAGTTCGGGGGGAGGCGGTGGTGCCCCATCCGGTGGCTGGAGTTCCGGCGGAGGAGGCGCTTCTGCTGGCGGCTGGAGTAGCGGTGGTCCACCCTCCGCCTGGTAGATGCACTGCATCAACTGCCCGCCTAGTTAGTTAGACCAAATGAATTTTTTTTTCGCTATCCTCTATTCTATCGTTATGTATTTTTTTTCCTAGGCTAATTCTTCACAGTCATTATCAAAAAATCAGATAAACAAAACATCCATCATTGTTAACCTAAATTATTTGTTAATAAACAATTTGAACCAATTTGAAGTGTTTTATTTGCAAGGTGTATAGTTTACCAAAAACAGTTTGACAAAAATTATAAAATTCCAAAGATAAAATCCCATTCATAACTAACTAAAATTAATTAATGAACACAACTCAAGTTCAAGTTTGTGTTGCCTTCAGCAGTATTTTCCCATAATTATTTCCAAACGAAAGCTTAATCATAGCAAACCATTTATGTTTCTTTTAAAACCATTATATATAATTATTTCCAGACAGTTTAATTGTTTGTTAAACAATATTATTAAATTATATAAATACTTTACAACTGACTTGGGAAATAAATGAACTAAAAATCGGCGAGGTCCATCATGGTGCTTACCCAATTTCTTTTTCAAGGCTGAGAAAATGACAAGAAAAGCCAAGAGCATCGGCCACTTCATCATTAACTTGTATTATTTGTTAATAAATAAATGGCCCAAACATATGCAAAACGAGCCACAAATTTGTAACGTGTTATGCGATTACATCACAACTTTCATTGTGGATGGGATGACGAGATGGCCCTCGGCCGGCAACAGTTTGGTTTCGAATTGATCGCCTCTCAGAGGCGTTGCGAAATGCTGGCCCCATATGTGTCCAAATGGCTGATCTCCGATCTTCGAATTCCAATCACCGGACCCAATTTCCAGTTCCGACTCCCGAGTCAAAGGTGAAATTACCAAGATGCTGCGAATCAAAAGAGATGAATGCGTGAAACAATATCATTCACTCACGAGTATTTAAAATAAGATCACATTCGAGTTGTATATACAAATGTATTTTTCAGTTATAAAACATCCCAAATTATTGATCCATTTTAAGAGCTCTTCAATTAGTTAAAGTACGGTTTATTTATTTGAGATCAATTAATTTGGATGACTCCATTAAAATTGTTTGACTTTACTTAATTAACATACAAATTCTATTTATACACTCAAAAAAGTATTCACTCTGAATTTTAGAAATTTGACTAAAATCTGAAATCAAAAAAACGCGAAAATTGGTCAAAAAAAAAATTTCCCTAAAAGCGATGCAGATCGTTAGAAGAGGAAGCAAGCTGTTCAAAACAGTCGGTCCTGTAGCTATACTCCTAGATTTGGCTGAGCTACGATTGAAAAACCCCAAAAAAACAGTTTTTTTTGACTAAAATCTGAAATCAAAAGAAACATGATGGAAACTCTTAAAAAAATGCAAAAATTGGCCAAAAAAAATTGTTCCCAAAAGCGTTGCAGATCGGTAGCAGAGGAAGCAAGCTGTCCAAAACAGTCGGTCCTGTAGCTATACTCCTTGATTTGGCTGAGCCACGATTGAAAAACCCAAAAAAAAAGATTTTTTTTGACTAAAATCTGAAATCAAGAAATTCATGATGCAAACCCTTATGATGCTTTTTTATTGGTTTAATTTGTATGTATTTTAAGCACATTAGTTTTTGTATATGTTCTTTTCATACTTTCTACTTATATTTCTTTTCTATATTTTTTTTAAATATATCGAAAAAAGATATTTATTTTAAGATCTGTGAATCCGATTTGTGGTTGAACTGCTAAATCTCAAAATACTGGATGTCTGATAACCTTATACAAAATTAAAAACTTTAAGAAACAATAATAAAATCCAAAAGCTCTCACGACTGGTCACTTTCACCTTCTCCTCACGCGATCATCCCCAATTTCTGGCCACTTGCTGTGGGCCAAATTGATTTCGGATGTGGCTGCCAATTATGTGAATACACATGGACCCAGACCCATAACTTTTGTTTTCACTTTACAGCTTGAGCGGAGTGCCCAAAAAACCAGGCGAAAAACGCAGGGCATGTAATATTACAAATACTTTTACAAAGTATAATTAGATTTATTAGCAAAAATAATAATTAGCATACGATTTTCCCTCGGGTAACACTCAGTGGACACCGATTACGAATCAGTTTGTGGGGTTTTAGTTAAGCACACGTTAATACAGACAGAGACAGAGGACCACGATAATACTTTCGAAGGCCGGCTAAATTGCACGCTGGAAGAGGTGGCCAAGCAGCTCGGCCTCGCTCAGATCCATTTTGTACTTCTGGACAATGTCCTGCACCTTGAGTCGTCGTCGCACATGCGGCGGTTGGTAACTAAAACAAAATACAGGTAGTTTAGTTAGGTTTTAGGTATATATGCAGATTAGAGGTATGCCCTACTTGTCATTGTCCAGACGCCGGCGACGTGATATGTTCAGTGCCGTTTGGCGCACCAGATTGCCGACGACCCGCCGGCTCAGCACCATGCCATCGACCAGGGGCGTGGCGAAGCTCATCCTGCCCGGCGGACCCTGCAGCTTCACCCTTAGCAGGCCGGAGAGCAGCGAGTGCACGAAGATCACGTGGCAGTCCGCCGCACGGGGCAGCTGCAGCGTGTGCAGCTCCTCGCCGGTGCGCGTGTAGGCCAGCACATCCTCCAGCGGAAAGTTCAGGTAGTCCTCGTAGCTCTCGAGCCACACCAGAAAGATCTTGGCCGGCGCCTGGGCCAACAGTGTGGGCTTCGTCACATTTCCCTTCCGCCGCGTCGGCGGCACTGGCTCCTTGGCGTCCCGCCGGCTCGTGTCGAGCTCCAGGCTGAGATTCCTTGACTTCGATTTGGCCAGCCCAGCCGCACCATCGCCGGCTGTCTCGCCGCGTGCCCACACATTGCTGGGACCAATCATCTGATCCGTGCTCGAGATGCTCCCGCCATCGCCAGTGTCGCTATTGTAGCGCAGATTCCACGTCGTTGGCACCACGAAGGCGATTTCCGAGCACACATCCGCCCAGTAGAGCACCCGCTGCGAGCCATTGTAGTTCAGTAGTTCGTTGGCAGTGGACTTCAGCTGCTGCTGCTCCTCCGGCGTTCCCTTGAGGGACCAAGAGTTGTGCGCAAAGCCCGTCCAGCCGGAGTGCTCCGACACCTGGACCGGCCAGCCCAGTGTCTGCAGCATGCTGGCAAAGTGCGGATCGTGGTTGGCCGCCTGCTCCTCGGCCATGTTGCCGATAATCTGCTGGGCACTCGTTTGACCACTCTGCAAAGATTGGTTACATTGATTAAATACATATATTTCTATTTTTCCAGACTTGTTAAGTAACCTTCACGTAGAACACATAGACGGTATCGTGGGTCCTCGCACTCAGCTTGTCCAGACGATCCAGGTCGGCGGCGAAGGCCGTGGACTTGGTGTCCAGCACGATGAGCGGTCGCTGTGGCGGATTGCCCAGCGCCTCGGCCGGATTGTGCGGATTCCGCGTCTCGAATCCCAGGAATCCGAAGTGCGAGAGGAAGAGACGGGCCGCATGGAACTCGTGGCACACCGCCGGCGGCACACATTCCTGGGCGTGCGACAAACTGTCCGCGCTAGTGTCCGCCTCCGCCCAGGCCAGTTTCTCGTGGATGCTCTGGTTCTCCAGCATCGACTCCAGCTCCCGAATGCTCGCCGTGCCGTATTGCTCGCGCATTTGCTCGATGGTGGGTATGGAGTAGTCCGCCACGCAGGGCTGCACCTTGTCCACGCCGTCTGGGAAGTTCTTCTGCTCGCACTCCGGCCGCTGGGTCACATCGTTCATGGGTATGGGTCGTCCGGGGTTCACGGCGTGGTACTTAATGCCGGATTTGCTGCGTGGCAGGTGGCGCAACTGCATGGTCCAGGCATGTCGGCCAAAGGGGCCACGGATGAGCACTAGAAAAAAGGGGGATAACCATCAGTAAGGCGAAGGAGATGAAGCAAGTTGGTAGCTTACAGGTCACTGTGGGCTGCGGATCCTGGTCATTACCCAGCGGCTCCTCGAGCAGCGCCAGTATGGTGGAGTTCTCGGTGACAAAGTACTTGAACTTGGCAATGGCCTGCTCACTGCTGGCCGCCGCCGCCGGCACCATGGAGTTGCAGTGCTTCATGAGGGCCAGCTCGTCCAGCAGCGAGGATATCGACTCCGGGCCGCACTCGCTGGGGAAGTAGCCCACTTGCTCCAGGATTATGGTGAGCAGATTCTCGGCCGCATCTCGCACCCTCATCGAGGCGGGCTTCAGCTCCTTTTCGTCCTTGAACTTGGGTATGTCGGTGCCCTTGCTCTGGCTCTTCGTCCCCGAAATGCCCAGCTCCACCACCTCGAGCACCGTTTGAAGGCAATCCTTGTCCTGCAGCAGATAGGGATGCTGCATCAGCCAGGCGGCGGTGCACTGGAAGGCCGCCACAATGGTGCTGTGCAGATCCTTGCTGTGCGCCGGCGGCGGACGGGAGCACTGGTAGCATATGTAGTCGCAGATCCACTTCACGGCCCGCTTGCACTCTAGAGCGTCTGAGGAGATTATCGTTAGATTCTGACTAGCTTCGTATATTTTCACTAAGGTGTCTACGAGGGCGGTTTGAATGAGTGGTTGGGTGTTGGTGGTTGGTTTATTTGGTTTGGGTGGGTTATATACATTCGTTATCGGTTGGAGATGCAAATCAAATATACATATATGCATAATATATATGGAAACAAATTGCAATCATCGTGGTTCGATGGATGGCGATGAGGTGGCGGATGATGTGGGTCATATTATAATGGGGTTTTGTTTTATTCGGGATGTGGTGCAGTGGTGGTGGTGCGGGTTCGATGGCGGTTAGAAAAAGAAACGCATCAAAAAAAAGAAAGAAAGAAAGACAGAAGAAAGTGGCGTTAGTTAGGTTAGTTGGCTTCGTCAATCAATTACCATTTGTAAATTTCCTGGCTGCACAGTAAAGCAAACAGTTAGGGGTTAGGGGTTAAGGGTTAAGGTTCGTGGGGTGGAGGTGGATATTTGTACACCAGGGTTTAACATTTAAAGAATACGCACATGGCAACAGTTCGAAAATAAACAAACAGAGGTGGACAGAAAACAAACGACATTATAAATCGGGAAAGAAAGTGCTGCCTCGATAAGACCGAAGCCAAAAATGCCCTTGCAAAGTTTTCGAAATCTGGGAGAACCCCTAAATCAGGTCTTTTCCCAAATATCATTAAAAATGTAAGA